GCCACCTGAGTGAGAAAGTCCTACTTTCTCCAGTTAGTTCTACCACTTGTTAGTTCTGATTTTGGGCAACTTTCCACCAAAGCTCCTCATCTTTTGTAAGGTTATGGTGAATATTAAATGAGAGTGTAAAACACCTAGCACAAGGCCAGTCCTCAATTAAAAATAATAATAATAAATAAAAAGTTGTATTATAAATAACAATGTATTTTTGACAAGTGCAGATTATATTTTCCCAGCTACTACTGTTCCAAGATAGTTTCCTTTCCTGCAAGTGATTTTTAACTAGCACTATGATTCATGCTTTTAAAAATAGCCTGTAACAAGTCTACTATTCCACAGGTACATTATCTGCGTATTTCCCAGTTGCACTAGAATAATGTTCACTGAGGTTAATTTTTATTAGTTTCCATTGGTTTTACTTTGAGCATCCACCCTAATGGCAAACTGCGGCTCACAAGCCACATGCGGCTCTTTGGCCCTTTGAGTGTGGCTCTTCCACAAAATACCACAGCCTGGTCTAGGAAAGTGGTTTGCAAACTTATTAGTCAACAGAGCCAAATATCAACAGTACAACGATTGAACTTTCTTTTGAGAGCCAAATTTTTTAAAGCTTAAACTTCTTCTAACGCCACTTCCTCAAACTAGACTCGCCCAGGCCATGGTATTTTGTGCAGCCATTGTGGAAAACAGCATGTGGCATATCCTCAAAAAATTAAAAATGGAATTGCCATGTGACCCAGTAATACCACTTCTAGGAATATATCCCAAGAAAACAGAAACACCAATCATAAGGGATACATACACTCCTATGTTCATAGCAGCACAACTTATAAGAGCTAAGATTTGGAAACAGCCTAAATGCCCATCAACAGACGAATGGATTAGAAAACTGTGTCTACACAATAGAATACTATGCTGCTATAAAAAAGAAGGAACTGGAGAGCAGTACGCTAAGCAAAATAAGCTACTCAGTGAAAGATAAATACCACATGATCTCACTCATTTGTGGAATATAAAGAACATTGTAAACTGATGAACAAAAATAGATACAGAGGCAAAGAAGCATCGACTGTCAAACTACAGCGGGAAGGCAGGGGAGGGCTGGGGGGCTAAGAGATCACCTGAAGGACTTGTATGCATGCATATGAGCATAACCAATGGACACAGACACTGGGTGGGGGATGGGGGACATATGACAAGGGGAGCGGAGACCAGGGAGAGGTCAATGGGGGCAAAAGGAGACATATGTACTACTATTTTAATACTTTAAATAATAATAATAAAAAGATATGAAGTAGGAGTTAGGTTAGTGGCAATGAAGAGTTGGGCAGAGCCCCAGGTATTAAGAACCAGTTATACAGTAGTCCAATGATGAGAAAAGCTTGGTGAATAAGATAAGAGAAAAGAACACTGCTTGTAGCAGGAGTAGTAAGAGGGAGAAGAGCCAGGACCTGACCTTCTATACCAAGGAAAGAATTTGTTTCTAAAGTAATAGAAGAGAAAGCTGCTGTAGGGTTTAAGTGCAGGTAACGCAATAAGCTTTATATTTTCATATGATGATACTGACTGTTCTATGGGGTGGTGGAAAGGAGAAGACTTGGTAATTGGTTGGATATAGGAGACCAGATAGAAAGAAATGTGAAAGATGATATTCAGGTATCCAGTATGATTACCAGAGAGGATTGTAGTATCATTTACAGATTGTAGTATCATTAGCAGACAGAACAAGAGTTTAATTTTATTAAGTGTATAATAGCTCTCAATAAACAGTGACAATATGTTGTGGTTGTTTTTACTGATGATTGAAAACCACTTGCTGTGATTAGGGGTATTGGTGAATTTTTTAGGTGTTGCTCTCACTGTGTACACAGATACTTCTGAACTTGACATTTGCAAAAGGAATGCAACTGAACTTCAACATGAAAAAGCCTGCAATCAATATGACATCTAGGATAGCTTAATATAACACATTAATAAACAGAATTCTTTTTTCATGAATTCCATTCTTTTACCAAGAATCAAGAAAGATATGATAATATAGCCATGCCAATTGGTCTATCCAGGGCATACGTGTTTGAGGCATCAATGTATGGGGAGATCAAACATAAAATTAGCCTTAATTGGCCTAGGCTAAATAATGAATGAGCAAAGACAGCTCAAAGGATTTTCCTATAAGTTAGGTAAGGGGATAGTAAGCAAAGAAATCAAGAGGTGTACTTAGATCTTTGATCTTACAGGAAGTATTTCACACTTTATTTTATGGCACAGATTCTACTTATATCGTACTAGAGGCCCAGTGGATGAAATCTGTGCACAGGGGAGGGGTGGGAGTTGTGTCCCTCAGCCCAGCTTGCACCCTTTCCAAACTGGGACCCCTCGAGGGATGTCCGACTGCCCAGTGGGATTGGGCCTAAACGGGAAGTTGGACATCCCTCTCACAATCCAGGACTGCTGGCTCCCAACCGCTTGCCTGCCTTCCTGACTGATTGGCCCTAACTGCTTGTGCCTGCCAGCCTGATCACCCCTAACCACTTCCCTTGTCAATCTGCTTCCCTGCCAGCCCAACTGTCTCTAACTGCCTTCCCCTGCCAGCCTGGTCACCCCTAACTGCCCTCCCCTTCCGACATGGTCACCCCTAACTTTCCTCCTCTGCCAGCCTGGTCATCCCTAACTCTCCTCTTCTGTCAACCTGATCACCCCCAACTGCTCTCCCCTGCTGGCCTGGTTTCCCAACTGCCCTCCCCTGCAGGCCTGGTTCCCATGCAACTGCCCTCCCTTTCAGGTCTGGTTCCTCCCAACTGCCCTCCCCTGCCGGCCATCTTCTGTCCACATGGGGGTGGCCATCTTGTGTGTAGGAAGGATGGTCAATTTGCATATTACCTCTTTATTATATAGGATTTTCACCTCATTTAATAATCTGTCATACCTGCAAATACTGTTTACACATAGTGGGGGGAGAAAGACTGCCTATTAGAATAATTAGTTAGCAGTATCGACTATGTAAGGCTATTTTCATTTTCATTCTGGTGAGCCAGCACTGCTTGTACAAGCATCTGAGAAGGCTGCTAAGTCTTTTCACCTGGCTCACGACCACTGCCTTTGTTGCCTAGAGATGCCAGGAAAGCAAAGGCCAAACTTCAGAAGTTACCACATTCTGTTAATAAGAACCCTTATATCATTATCCTGATCATTGTATTAAATAAGCCCTGAAGCATATGAGGTGGATGGAAAATGTATGAAATATACCAAAAGGCATGTAAAACTTCTGAAATAAAAGTTTTGAGTTGAGAAGTTTTACAGTACTTAATCTACACACCAACTGGGCATTTTACAACCAGGCATCTATAAAAGAATTAAAGAGAAAGAGGCACTAAGGGCACATAAAATCTCACACCTAAATAACTGGCATCATTTAAACACAAGCACCATTAGTGAACATCAGACAAACACACAGATCAGAAATTTTAAAGGAGAAAGAGGAATAGTTTAACCCAGTGGATCTCAACCTTTCTAATGCTGTGACCCTTTAATACAGTCCCTCATGTTGTGGTGACCCCCAACCATAAAATTATTTTTGTTGCTACTTCATAACTGTACTTTTGCTACTTTTATGAATCATAAATATCTGTGTTTTCCAATGGTCTTAGGCAACCCTGCTAGCGGTTCTCAACCTGTGGGTCGTGTCCTACAGGTTGAGAATCGCTGCTATAGAGCCTAAGACCATCGGAAAACACAGATCTTTACATTATGATTCATTAACAGTAGCAAAATTACAGTTATGAAGTAGCAACAAAAATAATTTTACGGTTGGGGGTCACCACAACATGAGGAACTGTATTAAAGGGTCGCGGCATTAGGAAGGTTAAGAACCACTGGTTTAACCTACATTCTGAATGTTTAACATATACCTTATTTATATTAGAATTCTTAGAGAGGACTTTGAAGTATTTTTTTAAACTTATACCTTTACTAGTATATTTATTAAGCTAGGAAATGCATCTAATACACATATTTTCGCTTTTTACATTTAAATAAGCACATATACGGAACTTCTTTATTGCTGTGGGTAATTTGTAATGTTGCCTTACCTGGTATAATCCTGCAAGACCTCAAGTATCCCAATTCAACACAAGGAAATGAGCTGGTGCTGAATCATTTGAGCATTTGCATTTATTCCTAATTATATTAACAAACCCTTGTTTATGGTAACTTCAGTTTTAGCTTTTAGACATTTGTTGAAAATAAGACATTTTGCTTACTATCTAAAAATTCTGAAGAGTTTTTTTCTTCACATCTAGTCATTAGAAGCAAGGCTCTGGAAATCTGACTGAGTATTCAAACCAGATCTCTACCACTTAGCTACATAATAATCTGTGTCTCAGCTTCCAACGTGATTCTCAGATGCTCATCTGTAAAACAGGATAAAGTAGTATCTAACTCAAAGACTTCTTGTGTAAAATGCTTTATTGCATAGCAAGGACTCAGAACACTGCCTGGCACATATAAGTGCCCCAAAATGTCAGCTATCATCATGACCATCACTATCAACATTGCTCCTGAATCAGAATCATTCATTTTTGGACACTGGGGAAAAGTCTCCAAAATATATTTAACCTTTCCCCTTTGTATTCTTAGTTCTTAGTTTTATCAGAAGCATCAACCTTTCTTATTTCCCAATTACCATAGATTTTTTTTTTTTTTTTTTTTTTTTTGTCCAGTGATTCTCAAACTTTTCTTTTACATAGGTACCATTATAACAAACTCAAACATTCCAGGAACTTTCACATGACACAATTTGTAATTTTAGAATCCTCTGATTAAGAAAATACAGATGAACAGAGGAATTTAAGGACCCCTGAAACAAATCCACAGCCCCTCCAGGGGGTTAGGAACCATATTGGTTAGGAACCATATTCAATAATTAATATATTTAGATTATAATGTAATTGAGGTTCTTCTTTTAAAAACCTCATGGGTCATATTTCTTCAGTTTCTCTTACCTCGCCCATGACTGCTATGGGTGTCTCTCCTGTTGCCTGAGCAACACGATGCTCTACTAAGTAGAACATATACTCGTCATAGAGTAGACGGATCAAGTGGAAGGAGCCAAAGCTAGCAGCACTGCGTAAGGTTAAGTCCCGAATAACCATTGAGCTGTTCCAAGAGAAAAGACAGATGCAGCCAATATTAGTGACGAGGATTAGAGTTCAATCTACTTTTTCTCTTCAAAGAAATCAAGTTGGAGGTCTGAAAGATGGGTATGGCACACAGTCTGCCATGCAATAATTTCACAGTTAAAAGCAGTTGGCTCAACTCTTTGAAACAGAAAGGTAAGAGAGGTAATCCTCACTGACACTTTAGGACTTTATTAGAGCTAGACAGGTTTTTATGGGAAAAGCCATTTTACTAACATAGGCAAGTCTGATGATCCCACTGAATTCTCTTATGAGTCAGAATTGAATATGAAATAGTTTTGAAAGGTTGACAACTCAACACCTTCGTAAGAAAAAGCAACTCCAAGTGAAAATCTTATTGATGGGTAAACATTGTGTTTCCACTTCTCAATGATAGTGGCTTTGATCAGAAGCATCAACCTTTGGGAAAAGATGTATTTGTGCCACACACAAAGGTTATAAAACATACTAAGCAATGTTCTCAGATGTGGCAAAGTAGAATGTAGATGATCCACATTGATCTGTATGACTGGGGTGGAAGACAAATTTAAGTGGAAATCAGTAAGAAACTGGAATTACAATTCCAGTTTCTTACTGATTTCCACTTAAATTAAGGTGATTTTCCATGAAAAGTGTATTAAAATCAATGAAGAAATGCCTGTCTTTGAAAATGTGAACTTTTAATTTATAAAATATAATACCAAAATATGAACAATATTAGTAAAACTAGAGGCCTGATGCATGAAATTCATGCAAGAGTAGGCCCTGGCTGCTGGCACCAGCCTCCCTCTGGCAACCAGGACCCGGGCTTCCCTTGCAGCCCTGGCTTTATCTGGAAGGTCATCTGGGAGGATGTCGAGTCTAATTAGCATATTATGCTTTTATTATTATAGATACTAACTATAAACTTAATATTTAAATTGTAAATGAGTTTAAAATAAAATTTTGGCTTCACTGAAGATAAGTCCATCGTTGGCTTGTCCATGCACTTCAAACCTCTTCAATATTTCCAATTAGAATTAGGGTGGGATATGTGTGGGGTGTTGTGGGGTGTGTGTGTGTGTGTGTGTGTGTGTGTGTGTTTGTGTGTTTGTGTGTGTTATTGATTTTAGAGAAAGGAAGGAAGAGAAGAAAGGAGAAAGTGAGGGAGGAAGAGGAAGAGAAAGAGACAGAGAGACAGAGATAGACAGAGAGATAGAGATTGATTGGTTGCTTTCAGTGTGTGTCCCAACAGGGGTTCAAACCCTTATCCCAGATATGTGGCCTGACCGGAATCGGACTGGCAACCTCCTTTTGGTGTACAGGACCAAGTTCCAATCAGTTGAGCCACCCAGTCACGGCAATACCTAGCTATCTTTTAAACATACTGATAAGCATGCCATTAAATTATTGTCACATGTTTAGAAAAGAATCAGTTGAGTTATATTATTAATGCTATGTCTGCTTTATTCTCTCTGTGTTGGGCCTCTGCCCTACAAGCCAAGTATTAAATGACATAATTAACAGTTTAATTAGAAACCTATTGTTGATTCAGACTTCTACAAGGCATGTTGCAAAATTGATTCCATTGAATTTTATGTTGCTAAGTTACCACAAATTCAACTCATCTTCAAATCAGTAATAAATGTTAATTATTTTATGATGGTGAAAGATACCCTTGTGTATTTGTCTTTATAATTCATTGTGTGGAAATGGAAACATTTACTCTAGCACATGATACTCAGTCCACCTCTTTGTGTATTTGGGGATATAACACACCCTTCCTAAGAAGAAAAGTGAGAACATCACACCTGAGACCTCCTTGGGAACTCTCTTTTCTTATAAAAATTTTATTTTTATTGATTTTATAGAGATACATGAAGGGAGAAAGGCAGGAGGGGAGAGAGGAAGGGAGAGATGGATGGAAGGAACAGTGTGGGGGTTGGAAAAGAGAAAGGGGGTGGGGAGAGAAACAGCAATTTGTTCCACTTTTTAATGCATTCATTGGTTGCTTCTTGTATGTGCCCTGACTGTGGCTTAAACCCACAACATTGGTGAATCAAGATGACCCCCTAACCAATTGAGTTACCTCGCCAGGGCTTGAACTATCTTTTTAACAGTGCTTACAGTTGATTTCAAAAGAGTGTTACTTTATGGAAGATTTATATATTGTCCCGTTGTAGTAAAGCTAGGTTCCCTGTGCCCCCTTTCAAATCACTATAAAAGCTATACATTTCATTCCTTAAAAATGGGATATTTGGTTATCCTGAGTAATGCTGTGTTCTGTTATCCACAAAACACACAAGCTGAGAAATGGCCCACATAACTTTTCCATTTATGCCCAAGAAAGACGGTGATTATTTTTCACCCAACTCTCAGGGAGCTAACAGTAGCCATTTAAAGCCAGGTTAGGCAAGGAGAGACCCCCCATCCAGAAAAGAGGGTGTTTTCAGCCATTCATCAACTGCCAGCTGATGTCATGATTCCCAGTTCATTTCTATATTTGTGTGCATGCAAATAGACACACAGAATCTTAGAAATTGTAAGATTAACTGGCTTCAGAAATTGAGTCTGTATAAGTGACTGCCAAATTCTTATTACAATGCCAAAAACTTTTGAAAAAATACCTGCAATTCTGTTTCTCTGATAGTTTATGAATGCAGTGTTCGTTACTCAATATGTCCTAATGCCTTAGTAAAAAGCAGTTCAGATTCTAAAGGCTTTTAGGTTTTTAAGCTATTGACTTTGCCTACCAGCAGGAGTTATGCATCTGTCAGAATATGCCTTCCCTTCTGTGGCCTTTCACTGTACGCCTTCAAGTCTTTTTGAAATGAAAATAATAACCATAATAGTGCCTAATAATAACAAGCCAATTATCCCCAACTCAGGGAGGACAGAGGGCAGGCAAGTGATGATCTGGGTTTGTGTATCTGTGAGAACAAAAATACAAGTAAGTAATTTTCTCTTTTCAATATTACCTGCAACACATTTCTATGGAGACAAAGGCTCCAGGGGTATATTTCTAAAATGTTATCAACTAAATGTAGTAAAAATAAAAACCTTCAAGAAGAAGTAAGGGTAGGCCCAACACAACATCAGCTGAAGCAGTGAGAAGGGGAAAAAAAACCTTGCTTTTTCTGATAGAGGATGTACTCTGCTTTAGGTCATTTGGTTTTTGGAATAACCAGCTGGTAGAACTTCTGTTTCATCAACCATTCATGAAGCACATATACCATCTACTTAATTTTCTGGAGAAAAATGGATGAATAACAAATGAACTTGCAAAAAAATGGGAAAATATATGAAATCTTAAGAAATATTACCAAATTAAAAATTTGATTTCTATTACTGCTACTTTGAGAACACTGTGATGCTATTTTCTAAATCTTTCCCATATATCCAGAGGAGATTCTAAACCTAGCATGGGTTTTACTGAAGCAAATCAGTGGGTCATAGTCAGTCAGCATCTTCATGAGGTGCTTCTCAAATCATGTGGGCCATGGGTACTAGATATGAGAGATAGAACATGGAATTATTTCATTCCAAAACGGAAACAAAAAACCACATGAAACTGCCACGCTTTCTTTCACTGCATTTGAGCCTTTGCTGGACACTATTCTTATATCCTGAAAATAGTTTTCTAATTTAACTCTTAACTGAATGTATATAGTAAATCTGCAGCTCTACTTTAAGAAATAAGAACTGGACCAAATCGGCTAAGAAAGCAAGTCACTTACAATTAAAACCAAAGCAACTACGATTATAATGAAAAGATGCCTTTATAAGGATGATCCAAACAAGATGAAGTTCTGTAGTCTGGCTTACTGGGTTCATGAGCACTACTAGTTCCTAAACTCTGTTACTTCTTCATGTACCTCCTCTCCTCGCGGCCAGCTTTGGACTCACAGCTGGCGTCTAGATAATAACCATGGTGTACCATAGCCACAGTCAGTGGTATATCCTGAGGTCATGTCACTACTTTCTATTATGATACTTGAATGGCTGTATAGAATCAAAATTAGGAACCTGCCCAAACCTCAAAATATATATGGTTTTTAGGCCCAAGCCAATAGGGTCACCTTTATCTAAAGAAGCAAAGAAATGAACCCACCAAAGAACAAATGCCAGGGTCAAAAATGGAGCTTATCTAACTTATGAAAATGGAACTTCATCTGTCAATCCCATCCCAAGTATAAAAGGTATTATGCCATCTTAGGCTCTGTTTTAAACGCTTGGGGCAGACCTGTGGTCAATAGCTTATACCAACATTTGATATCATATATCAAATAATCTGAAAGCCATTCTCCTCTAGGATTCTTCTATGTCTATAAAAATATATATTTATGTCAATATTACTTCAGTAAAAAAGTGATACATTTTGTACTGGCTACTAGGTTATTGGATATTAAACTAGCTATGCATTAGAATCAGAAATAAGCTTTTAAAGAAATAATTTTTGATTTATTCCTAATCATTACTCCCTTAACCATCAAGATTTTAATCCAGTAGAGGTTTGGGAGGTATGTAGATTTTTTTTTTTTTTACACTAATTCTGATGTGCAGCTAGATTTGAAAACAGTTGTAATTGATCGGTAAGAATTTAACTAGATGGTTTTTAGCATGCATTAGAATTACCAGGACACATTAATAATGCACAGATTGTTGGGCCTCACCTCTGCAGTTTCTGATTTAAAGAGATTTGGGGGAGGGGACCTGAGAATTTGTATTTCTAACATGTTCTGAGCCATAGTGATGCCACTGGCCTAAGAGAATAGAAAGAAGTGGTGCCAAGGCCTCAAAAAAGAAAAGCCTTCATAATGTCTGTTTGCCAGAGAGAGGACTGTGGCCTCTTTCTTGCTGTTGTAAACACATTCTCTGGACTGCAGTCTTGGGTCTTCCCATCTGAGAACGCTAGTGCTCTGAGCAAGAGGCTTTCTGTTCCTAGCAGAAAGCTGAGTTTCATAAGCCTCCTGATACGATTCCATAAAGCTGCAGTCAATGAATTGGGTTGAAAAGAATGCCAACTGAAAGTTTCTATGAATAAAGTCTTCACTTATTTTCTTTTGTCTGAAAAGTGTGTACATTACACACATGTTTACAGACTATGATAAAGCTCAGTGAAAATTTAGATGGTACCTGTAGAAAGACCATTTTAGCAGAAACTGCCTGGCAGCTTTCGGAAAACTGGGCCTTCCTTCGTAGGGTTTCAGGGCTTGCATCATCACGTTGTCCAGCCATGCGGCCCACTGCTCCAGGGTGCTCTGCTGCTGGAGAGTCATCTTGAAGTCTGTTTCTAGTCTCTGAACCATGTTGTCATCACACTGGCACACCCAGGAAGCCTGTTCCTGGGACAGTACACACAGAGCAAAAGAAAAGTTCAATACATCTTTTCACTAAATGGCTGCACACAAACCATATGCACGAATGGGAAATTATAATGAAAGCTTCCAACTATTTAAATGAATTAAGAGATTGAATGACTACTTGCCTGTCAGCTGTTAAGGAAACTAACATCGCCTAAATGGATGAAAAAGTGATGTGACATAAAAGCAAGATGTGGCTTTTCTACATGACCTAGTCTATATGCAAGACTAACACACCAATAACTGAAGAACAATAGAAACTTGTACCTACAGGATGCAAGGTCTTTTACTCAATTCAGTTTTTATGCTGCCTTCCCAAGTTCTCTTTCCTCTGCTACCAATCAAATAAAACTTTAAAGCCAATTCATCTGAGAAGACTTAAGGTAACTCAGATTGGCAGAAAGTAGTCTTTCAGGATGAAAACAGAAACAAACACTGAATAGTACTAGATAGAAGCACATGTTGTATGAGTTTTATAAATGGGAACCCAATCTCCAGGGCAGTCAAGGCAAGGCTATGAATGCAAATTAATCTACAGAACTGAGAACGAGAACAAAAATGCTTTTGAGAAAATGTAGATATGCTAACGGCCAAGTAATTCAACTCCTACAGTTGAATTTCCTTCTGGTTATAACTGGGAAGTTTCATGTTTAGTGAGAGCAATGAAACAGGAACTTTTAAGGCTACTTTTCAGTGGTTACCATTAAGTTCTATAATGTTTCCAATGTCTTTCAAGATTACCAAAAGTACATATATTCTCATGGTCAGAGTATAATCCCAAATAATAAAAGGCTAATAAGCAAATCGACGAAACACTGGAATAACCAATTGCTATGATGCACACTGATCACCAGGAGTTAGACGCTCAATGCAGGAGTTGCCCCCTAGTGGTCAGTGTGTTCCCACAGAGAAAGTGCCACTCAGAAGCCCTGAGCTGGGCCTCCCACTGGCAAGTGCAGCAGTGGTGGCAGGAGCCTCTCCCACCTCCCTAGCACAGCTAAGGATGTCTGACTGCTGGCTTAGGCTCACTCCCTTGAGGATATCCCCCAAGGGCTCCCAGACTATGAGAGGGCACAAGCCAGGTTGAAGGACCCCAGCCATATGCACATTGAGATCAACCAGGATGGCAGGAGAGGGCCATTAGGGGCGACCAGGCTGGCAGGCAGAGGTGGTTAGGGGCAATCAGGCAGGAAGGGGAGCAGTTAGAGGCATTAGGTAGGCAGGTGAGTGGTTAGGACCAGTGGTCCTGGGATTGCAAGAGGGATGTCCAACTGCGGGATTGGACCTAAATTGGCAGTTGAACATTGCCTGAGGGGTTCCGGATTGGAGAGGGTGCAGGCTGGGCTGAGGAACCCCCTTCCCCCCCATGAATTTCATGCACTGGACCTCTAGTTATTTCATAATATAATATTCAACTGAGAGAAAGATGGCATGGGTTTTATGTAGGGCCTGAATAGATTAAACTGAACTCAAGCAATTCATTTAATTTCAGTGACTTCATTTTCCCCAAACATAAAATTAGTAAAATGAAATGTGACAGTAATTTTTAAGGTGGGTTCATGTGTCCAGATAATATTTTCAAGATAGGTTTTTGTGGAAGGGTACCTGTAAAGGTCATAATTCTTTACATAAAATTGTGAATATGTGTGTATTCTTCTATGAAGTGTGTCTATTGCTTTCATTCTACCTACTCTCAAAGGACAAGTACATCAAATCAATAATTTCAACTAAAAAAATTCCTAATCTGCATTCACTGGTATCACCATTGGTCCTAATCCTATAAACTTCACCTATTCAAGAGACATTTCAACAGGGAGGTGTTTCAGACACAAAATGCCAAACTTCATTTTCTTTATTTCCCCAGGGAAACCTTTTATTTCTTCTATATTTCCAGCTGATGATACCATCTACTAAAATTCTTTGTCTTATCTAATTACTCATAAACACTTTCAGACTTTATTTCCTAAATACCAATTTTAAATATTTTAAGTATATTAAAATGTGACAATAGAAAAATAACAAATACGAATAATAAAGAAACAAAATATTAAGAATATCTACATGCCAACACAGATAACTACAGCATGCTACTGTGTATACCTTTCAATTTTTTCACATGTCATATGAATATGCATATATGTATATGCATACATAAATATTTAATATAGGATCATATGATACATTCTGCTAGATATTCTGCCTAGTTTTACTTAACTATATATGATAACCATCTTTCCACTTTGGCAAAAATAGAGCTATATTTAATGTTCAGTGATTAAGTTTGCTTCAATGCATGAATAAAGCATTATTTACATAACCAAGTCCATACAACTAGACATCTCTGTTCATTACTATTATTTACTAGTAGGAATAATACAAGAATTAACAATCTTATAACTACATCATTACTTTTTTTTTGCACTTCTTTCTGTATGACAGAATAATAGAATAGTTATGATACTTCAAAATACACTGTCAAATAACTCCCACAAATGATATATCAATTTAAGAATTCAGGAGAATACGGGAAGTATTGTAGCCATAAGAAGGGGACAGGGAAGGTTTTTATTATTTATTATTATTATTATTATTATTATTAATGCCTAAACATTTTTTTTGTTGTGGTAAAATAACACATAAAATGTATCATCTTAACATAAATGTCTAGTATAGGAGTATGAACTCTATGTCCTTATTGTGCAATCTACCTCTAATATTTTTTATTTTGAAAAAATGAAATTTTATACTCACTATAGGCGACATTATTTTTATGTGTGTGTGCATTGATAATTGAGAGGAGGGATTTAATGGTACTCCAGAAGAATTTCATTTAATTTCTTACTATACATTCAAGCTCACTATTTCCTTCAGAAGTTAGTTTTTGCCATGAAAAGTGGTAATCTACAACCAAACTTAAGAGAAATAAAGTTGCAATACATTATTGAGGCTTTTCAAACTACTTTATGATATACTTCATTTGCTACTCTTAAGACTGAAAATATAGTAACAGTGGAGTATACTGTAAACATACCCTGCTGAAAGGAGTTTGGATATTTCAGTTCTATAGTCAGTAGTTTTAAAATCGGATTAAAAAAAATCTTATGGTTAAAGTATTACATGTGTCCTCTTACCCCCCACTGACCACTTCTAGCCCACCCCCAGCTTGTGTCTGTGTCCATGGGAGTACGCATATATGCATACAAGGTCGTTGGTTAATCTCTTTCCACTCACCCACCCTCACCTTGCTTCTGAGATTCCAGTATGTTCCATGCTTCTGAAATAAGTACTTGTATATGCAATAGTTAGGTTATTGGGTCAACCCACTGAAACCTAGTTAGTCCATACTGCAGATGGAAAACTATCATTTACACATAAAAAAATAGAAAATAATACCATTGTAATGCTACCAATTAAATAAAACAAAAAATAACAATACTACAATAGAAAAATTATCCTGAAGAAAAGAAGATATAACTAGAGAATTACGAAGTGGTAAAAGATATATGAATATCCAGAAAGAAACATTTTAGTACATTCAAGCTCTTAGAGTATGATAGTATTGACCCTTATATGTAATTTCAATGACTTAAAGTTTCCTTATTAAAAGAGCATCAGGGTTCTAATTTCTCCTCATCATTACTTACACTTATGATCTGTCTTTTTTATTATACCCATTCTAGGGTGGGTGAAGTAGCATCTCAGTGTGGTTTTGATTTTCATTATTCTGGTAAATAATTATGTTGAGTATCCTTTCAGGTGCTTATTGGTGATTTGTGTATCTTTTTTTGAGAAATGTCTATTCAGATCTTTGCTCATTTTAAAACTAGGTTGCCTTTTTATTATTGGGTTGAAATAGCTCTTTGTATGATTCTAGATACAATTTTTATCAGATATATGATATATTGCTGCTGGGGTCCTCACAATCAGGACCAAGTGAGACGGGCTGGACACATATGCTCAATTCTATGAGTTGCCATTTCATTGTCTTGATGGTCTCTTTTGAAGCACAAAAGCTTTTAACTTTGATTATGTTTAGTTTATGTATTTTTTTAATTTGTATTATTAGTGAGCAATGGCACTGTTTTTATATGGCAACAATTATCTTTATTACTTTAGTGTTTGAAGTGAACTATATGTTGGAATTCCATAATAATATTCCTAAATTAGCTATTTTTTCACTGTAATTTAAAGTAAAAGTGAGTAGTTTGATCATGAGTTTCAAATATATATTTTTTATTTGGAAGATCAAAATAGTCAAACATATTACACCTAACTCTTTTCAAATGAACGAATACTTTGTAGACACCTATAGTAAACTCTAACGTAGGGTTATTCTAAGTTATTTCAAGCTGGGGCATTATTAGAAACAAAAATCTCTTGTGTGTTACAGTGCAAAGGGTTTTGGATATTACTAAATATATAAACTACTAGAGGCCTGGTGCAGAAAATTCATGCACTTGGGGAGTGGGGAAGAGTCCTTCAGCTCAGATTGTGAGAGGGAGAAAGCCAGGCTGAGGGACCCCACCACCGGTGCACAATTGGGGCTGGGGAGGGATGCAGGAGGTTGGCCAGCCAGGGAGAAACTGTGGGAGGGATGCAGGGTGTGTCCAGCCCATCTCACTTGGTCCTGATGGGCAGGACTCCAGCAGCAAGCTAACCTACCAGTGCATGTCACTGCCAGCAGTTGAATGGCCTTAGCATATCATTAACATATTATGCTTTGATTGATTGAATGGCCAATAGGACACTTAGAATATTAGGCTTTTGTTATATAGGAGGGCAATCTAAGATAGGTGTTATAAAGTGGGGAATGTAAAATGAAGAGCAGTTAAGTAACTTGCCCAAGATCCCACAGCAAGGAGATCAAATAATTTAACCTCCAGTCTATCTAACTTCAATGACTTAGCCCATTAACCATTCGGAAAACCCTGGTGACACAGGTTGTGTCTAATACTATAAATCTTAGCGGGTTTGAACCACAAAACAGAGGAGCAGTAAAGTCATAGCTGAGTAAAATGCCCTTCTTTCAGGATTCTGTGAATAGAGACGCTGCCTGTGTATTGATGCAACTTTAAAAAGAAATATGATGGCCGAGACCAGTTTGGCTCAATGGATAGAGCGTCGGCTTGGGGACTGAAGGGACCCAGGTTCGATTCCGGTCAAGGGCATGTACCTTAGCTGCGGGCATATCCCCAGTACAGGGTGTGTAAGAGGCAGCTGATCGATGACTCTCTCTCATCGATGTTTCTAGCTCTCTATCTCTCTCCCTTCCTCTCTGTACAAAATCAATAAAATATATTAAAAAAAGAAAAGAAATATGATGATCCTAATTAAGAAGAAAAAATTTAGTGTCTTCTCTTCCAAGACACACTCTGCAGGGACACAGAGTACCTGGACATTGGCAAAGTCGACACGGTTGAGGTCATTGAGCATCTGGTTAATCTGAGACGTGTTCTGAAGCACTGCACGAGCTGCCTGGGCCAGGTGATTGAGCGATGTGTATCTTCGCAGAGTCTGGGCAAAGGCACTTACAGCGGCAACCTGTACAGAAATCCAATTAAAATGAGATTCTTTTTTTCCCTTCTAGTAACAGAAACCACTGCACATCCTCAAATCTTTATTCCCTTGCCAAATTTTAAATACTTCCCTCAGATACTTATTTCAAATTCATTTGGTGAGAGAGCTTACTTGTAAATTACAGCACTTAAATCTCTAAACCAAGTATTATTTTCTTTTGAGTGGGTTGAGGTCAAGATTAAAACTAACTCCCACATTCTTCGACATCTGAGTGCAGAATTAATTAAACTAGTCTTACAAGTAACTCCTTATCCATGACACGAAATGACTTCTCTGGGGAAGCAGGAAAATATTGATTTTCTCCCCCCCCCCCTATTTTCTTGTAGGACAGTCAACTATAAACTTGGCAAATAATTTTAACTTGGAAAAGCAAACTAGAGAGTCCCACTTTTAAAAATGGATAAAAATATATACTTTTCCAGAGCACTGTCATTCATATTCACTCTTATTACCATTCACTTTATAGAAATGGGTAATTTTGAGGTAAAACGAAAGAATTCATAGCCTTTATCAGCAACGTTGTAGCTAATAAACTTATCAGATCTAGGCAACAAGAACTCTTTTTCAGAATATAAATTTCTGTTAAAGGGCTAGTCAGGAAATTTACATTTGCCCTTCAAAACCTATTTCTCATCCTTATCTATGCTGCTCTGTGCTCAGGAAGATTGTCCTGAATGTACTATAGCAACCACCTCCCTTACACTATGGCTTCCATTTGGCTTCCAATGATGGGCATTGGCAAAAGACTGAAGGGTGGGAATACAGTCATTAAGTATTTACTTCCTTGAATTTTCTGTTCTCTCCCTGTTTCGGCAGAGACTGCTTTCTGTTTCTATGACCACAGTTCTGTAGCAAGAAGAGGATCTTAATGCCACAACTTTCCCTTCTAGATGTAGGCATGTTCAGGACTTCTCACTATTGCTTTTCCTGAGGTACTTTATCATTCCTTTTCTTAACTCTTTTCACACCTTTGGAAATAAACCCTTCTTAAACCCTCTTCCATTATTTTCCCCAATTATTTAAATGCTGCAGAGTGATTTACAAAAGTACCTTTCAGCATTTAAAAAATATACCACAAAATATCCCAACCCTCAATGAACCAGGTTACAGTGAAAGAGATTAAAGCTAAAGAGAGATATAAAAGATACCTTGGTTTGTATCATTCTCTGTGGAATATTGTTCATGGCATTGGAAAGCCAACCTTCAAGGCTTTTTGCAAAATTTCGAATGGCTTGGGTCAAGGCACCTAAATGTTAAACAATAAAGGCAGAATGAAAAAGGTACAAAAGAACATTAATGTTTAAGCTAAGTTATGAGAAAACATGCATACATGACACATGAAATAGCACAGAATTTATAATGTCTTCACTGATGAGACTTTATTTAACATTATTCCTAACCTTGAAAGAGTTCGAGCATTATATTTTAGGGGCTTTGTTTTTTCTTGTAAAGCTATTTTGTTCACAGATACTAATGCTACTTGTTTGGCAAATGAAAATATTCAAACATTTTTGCTTATAACATATACCAGTTGTGAATATACTTGTGGAATTTTCTTAAGATACTTTTTATTTACAGCTCTGTGCTCAAAGCTATTTTCTTTTACAAGTTCTTCATCTTGATTATTCAAGTTTTTAACCTTTATTTTCCTTTATTTCTTAGTTAAAAAGAAGATCATGCAAAGCTTCCTCTCTTTTTCTAAGCCTCTATATACATTAGAACAAGCCAGCTAGAGTAGTTTTCTCTCACCTTTATTGAAAAATAAGGTAAAAATCAATCTGGCCTAATTTGAAATTTTGGATAACTATTTTCCATTTCACTTGGCAGATAGAGATAAAAGATCAGTGTGATAAAATTACTTTCACAAAGACCAATATTCTTAAGCTATTCCTAAATTAGTCCAGTCCATACTTTTCAGATATCTGTTAAAACCTGAAATAGGGTTAGGTCCCATGAGAGTGGCTTTTTATAATGGCTATAAAGTGTTTGGAAGCATTATCAGGGGTGACTATTTTACAAGAAGGGATCTGTTTACTGAGATTGCTGCATAAGAGAAGACAAGATTCTTTTCTTATTCAACAAATAATTCAGTCAATAGAATTTCCCTTCATCGGCACCAAAGTGGAGGGAGCAGCTTTAAGACACTTAATAAATATTTGAGCATTCACAGCTAAGTCTTTGTGGGTTCCCTATCTTATGGGTAGGTATTACAACTGGTAGTCTACGGTAAGAAACAGAGAAGTTACATGTTTGTCCAAGGCTTCCCCAAATATTAACGTTAATGATGAGATCAAGTTTCTTGGTTTTTCTCTCTGTGCTTAAATGAATCTGACATGCTTCTCTATTACTTTTGTTAAAGCACAGTTAGACAATTAAATTATTTGCAAATGATACAAATATTACTAATCCCATAGTAAAAAAACAACTATTTTTAAACAAGGACTTATTTAACTGGTAAAATGACAAAAGAGAAACTAAAATGGCTTATTTTTTATTAGAAAAAACACTTGAGAAGTGCAGAAAATGAGAATCATCTATTGGAAACATTGAGTTGGAAATTTCTTGAGATCTAATCTTTTGAAATTTCCAAAGCTTCCCACTTTAGCCAAAAGAGAAAAAAAGAAAGAAAAGTATTTTCCTGCTGCATTATGTACTAGAATAATGAAGGACAGGCATGAATGGAAATGAAAAAGAGTGAAAATTAACGCTTTTTGAAACTCAGTACAAGTTTTTGCAAGATTCAATTTGGCTAACTGTATTTTGCATTTTTCTGTAAATAATATGTAACAACTATTTAATCTAAAACAAACAAACAAACAAGACCCAGGAAAGTTACTTTAAAACATTAATGAGTTTTACCTAGACAAATCTGATGTGAGAGAGGTTATAAAATAAAAAGATATGCTTGTACTTCAAATGATTTTTAGTTTTTACTTTTTTTTGTATTAAATGTCATGTTGGGCCACCTGTAAAAAGACCTAAAAATTGTACATTTAAGTATTACCAGTCGAGTTTTTATACAATTCTTTGCACTTAACTTTTTCTTCATTTTCAGATGTATTTTAGAATATAGTAGATTCAAGCTGACTGACTTTAAATTAGTGTGAGATGCAGACTATTTTTCGGCTAAAAAAAGGAATCCCATCTGGACAGTAAATGGTAGAGTGAAGTACTAGTAGCCACAAAATAACAATTTTTAAAATAAAGTTACGTTTTCTCTCTCTATGGGTTCCCGTCAGATCAAACTGTGCACATCAACTTTTGACAACTGTTCTCATGACTGGATGTTTGAAATTTAAAATCTATTGCAAAGCAACTTGTTTCAACCCACTCATGATTAATATTAAGATGCATACAACCAGAAGATAGCTATCTAAACTCTATTTTAAGCTTTATTTTGTTAAGTCTTGTTCTAGAATGGGAAATAAATTTCCAAATTTACTTGGCTCATAAATGTATCTTGTAATTTCAGAGAAACTATCAAACTATACTTATGTAAAAACTCCTATAGTTGAGTTGTCTGCTGAATGTAGAGACAAAGTACTTGACATAAACCACTTGAATAAAGTGGTTTTTAAAGCACAATTTAAAAACAAAGGCCAAGTGTATTCTGTATTTAAATGGTAGGGCTTGCAGTTAACTAAAACTGATACATGATTTAAGTTAGAAAACTGGAATTTATAAGTTAAAGACCTGTGAGGCTAACATGGAAGTTTAAGATTTTAGAGTTATTTCATGAATATTGATGTTGTTGATTTGCTCAAAAAAGAAAGTGCTGACTGACATCTCTTCTTATATCTCTTGAGAGAAATTATATGTGGGTGGGAAGATGCCTTATGGGCTACCTATGCTACTTCTCTTAAACATCTCGGAAGATTCTAACTCAGAGCTCAGGGAGCAAGAAAATAAGGAAAATCAGATTCTGAAACATAAATCAGAAGAGAATTTATACACTGAAATTTTCCATGACCACATTATTTTTTATCAATGCTTAGTCAGGAACATAGTGCAGATAGAGTAAAAAAACATTAGCAATTGATAAAAATGTGAGACAATGGCAGGTGGATTTTTAAAAAATAAATGTCTATTCAAATGTTTAGCATTCATTGATACTGTATGTAAATGTGTGTCTACGCACATATTTTAAGGTAGTGAGGAACATATGAAGTAACTCATATACTCCACTGTTATCTATCATATTTAGGGAAAAAAAGCAAGTATAAGTTTATAAATGTTCATTTCTTCACCTTTTGTTCTATTCAATCCCTAAATATTATCTGGAATAACTTAATACAAATCACCTGTGAATGGTCTACTTGAAGTACACGGTTGCCGATTTCACAAGCTAAAAGATTGCTTTTACCTTCCTAATGTCACTTTACAGTGGAAAGTCTGTAAAAGTTAAAATCACTAGTATGTGTTCATGAAGATGTAAGTGTACAATCATTCCAACTGCTGCTAACACAAGTATCCATAGTGGCATTTATATTGACCCTTGCAGAAAATAGCTTTGTTTGCTGCAAGGTAGTGTAAAATGCAAGCATCACTTAATCCAACTTATCTATGTAATTCCTGTTTGCTTCATGAGGGACTAAAATGCTTGCATAGTAGCATAGATTTTTCTCTCAAAATGCCAGTTAAGAATTGCTGTGAATAGAAACTGTATTTGTAGTTCAGAACATGATGTAGGTGACAAAGGAAATGCTTTTATAAAAGAATTCAACTTCAGTGGAAACCAAGATAAATTCATTGCAAATCAAAAGCATCCATAAAAGAAGCTGGGCTAGCAATTACAGATTTCAAAAACTTTGGCTTTCGGGAGGAACTGTGTCCTTGGATAGAATAATTTGTACGTGCTTGACTGGCCTGGAAGTGTTCTTGCAATTAGTCATCGGGCTGTCACATTCATAGGTTAGCTTTTTATTCAAAAAGAAAACTACTAAAGATTGAAAACCAGATCACTGTTCCTCTTTTACTACAGTTCCGCTCTAGGCTGCTTTCAGGCAATACTCTGTGTAGCATGTTTTCTATGTGGCGAATCTAAATGCAATTAGAATCCCTCTGGGTTTCAATGTCACTTCCCAAAACTTCCTGGGTGGCATGTATGAGAACAAAAGCATCCGTACTTGTCTGCATTTAACTTACTAGGAATAGGTCTAAGGACGTCGGGGATGAGAATCTCCACCAAAGCCTGGTACATCCCATGGTCACAGTTACACATCCATTTCAGGATAGACTCATGTTTGCACAGAGTTATCAGCTTTGCTTTCGGAAGTCGACTCTCTATTTCACTCAGATTGCTGGGGTGAATAAATGTAGCAAATGAATAGATGGCAAATGAGGATAAAAAAGAAAATGGACTTTAAAAATAGTTTTAGTTTATCAAATATTACTGAGGTTAGCACTATACCACCATTGCACTGGTGCCATACGGCTGGATATATATCACATTCCCCCAGAGCTGCCTATGCACGTTAATACTTTCTGGCGGTATGAAAGGCAGATATGATACTAAATCCATGAGGATGAAATAGCTCTACCACAGTCCACCAATGCGATAAAATGGGCGCTCTTGTACACACGCTGAAACCTCCAGAGAGCAGTTTGTGGCTTATTTCAATCTATTCAGTTAATGTTATCAGATAGGGTTCACAACTGGTATACATATCTCTAATTTATTAGCTGTGACATCTACTCAGCCATGAAAATGAACTGGAAAGGTTATTGGTTCTGACCTTGATTCAGTAATGGTAGTGCCGTCAGTTGGAGTAGAGGGAGAATAGCGCCAGAATGTTTGCCACAATTTTTCTATCAGGCTAAACTGAAGATTCACAACAACATCCAATATTGCCTAAGAAACAAAATGGTTATTGGTATATCTTACAATATTTCTTATGTGGAGGGTGAGAGGAGAACATAATTAAAGGGCCTTAAATGGTAAAAATACCTTTGGGCTCATAGCTTGGTGATACTAAATTGGCCATTGGGAGTAGGGAAACAAAAGAGATTAGCCAGGGGGAAAGCGGGGGTAAACAATGCTTAAAAGATTAGGCAGGGTGACTGGTATCCCTCCCACAATGGCCCCATATCTCACCCTTACTTTCACTTCTTTCCTCCCCGACCTCTCCATGGTCATGCTTGCTTCCCACTTCTCTGTTTCTTCTCATACTTTTCTTTCATTTCTTTCTACCCCACTGCTTCCCTCTGCCTCCAGGGTTGCTGCTATTCTTCCTATTCTCAGTGCGGAGGGCACAGATTCAATTCACGCCAGTCCTCACTGAGCTCCATGTGTCCACTGGCCATCAAAGAGGCCAGAAGTGAAGGGTGTGGGGGTGCTTGTGTGTGGCAGACAGAGTTAGGGCTAAAGTAGCTCTGTTGAAAGCTACTGACCATGGGTTCCAAAGTGTTCCCAGCTGAGCAGAGGCTGGGTCACAAACTACAGTCAGGAAGGCCTTCAGATAGCCTGCCCTGCAGAAGGGAAGTACAGCGAGCACCTCTTTGGTCACCCAATGCCTCCCATTCAATCCTGTTCTGCGCATGCCCCTTTGAGAGCAGCTTTAAGAACATCCCCTTTTTCTAATCTTGCATCAGGGGCTTTACCTTCTCCTTAATTTTACCTACTAGAACCATTAACCAGCTCGTGGAGATTAGATTTTTTTTTTTTTAGGATGGTAAAATTTGCCACTTCCATTAACTTCTGATGGTCATATTTAGTGTTGCCCCGCCCTTGCAATTAGTTTATAAATTTACCTTCAGATAAAAGATGTCATAAAAGAATAACTTGTGCAGAGTACACATGATTCTGTGATTATTTTGTACATAAAAGACAGAAGTTGTCTATATAGAGTGCTTGGTGGCCTCAGCAATAAGAATGAAACAGACGCCTAGTCAAGATCTACAAAATGCACATAAGTTAAGTGACGAGAGATGAAAACTGGGAGTCAAACTGAGGATTTTAGGCAAAAAGAGAAAACTATAATGTCATAATTCTGAAGTCTGTGCTCTTTGTGTAGGTTGTCCATATTTATGATACAGAGAATAACTGATGATCTACACAAAAAACTCTAAAACAAATCAAATATTAAGCAAAATCTGTTTGGGACATATTCTGGGAACTAGTTAGTAATAAAAATGGAGGGAAGGGATCAAATTGGAAAATGGTATAAAATTCAAAAGGTTAATGTACTCTTTACCCTTTTACATCAGAAACAATAAAAATGCAAGTGCAAGCCCCGAAAGTAAAGGGCATAGAGATGTCCCTCCTCTCAGGCAAAAACTAAAACCTTCTCAAGAGGCAGGTAATTATAGCTGCTTTCTCAACTGTAGCTTAGGCACACTGCAAGAGAAGTCTATTAATGAAGCAACTATTAATATCTCACATAATACCTTACATATTTATATCCATGAGGTCACTATAAGAACACTATGTGTATGTTAAAAGAAAAAAAATAGTATTGTAGCACCTTGTGTAGATAACTATACTTTTCCTTATCTAAAACTAGTGATACCTACACAGTATCTTTGATAAACAAATCATGAGAATTTTAAATGATAGGCAAAATAGGTATGTTAAGCTTTCTTTAAAACATAAACTGTAATAAACATGATATAGAATAAAGCAAGTAAGTTATTCAATGCGTCTTAAATTTAGTGACTTCTCAAGTCAATCTCAAATGCCTTTGAAAAGGACATTCTTTGCAGTAGCCTCTTGATGCAGTTTACAAGTGGATAAAACAAATATCCTTTGTCCAAACACCCATATTCAAATATGTTCATATTAAAATACATAGACATATATATTTTAAAATAGTCCATATTCTACTGGCTTAAAGCAAATGACTTATGTATCTATACTTCAAAAGTTTTGAATTTTCACAGAAAAAAAAAGAACTCTTCTTTTCAGATTTGCTCCATGCTCCATGGGAGATGGCATGAATTCCGATAACTCTGAAATAAATTGGGCTCATTCTATAGACTGCACTGCACACAGATTAAATATCATATATGTCTATCTCTCTTCATATAGAGTAATCCTACAAATAGGAATGTTGTTGAAAATGTTGTAACCCAAAGAATATTTTCATCTTATTGGGGGAGTTTTTCCCTTAGAATAATCTGACTGTACATTCTTTGGTAATGTAAATAATATTGCTCCAACTTATACTTTGAGTAAGTATGAGAAACTTAAAGAAATACAAATTATATTTGTGTATATAAGTTTGCTTAAAGCAAGGTTCAGAGAGCACAGAGAAATAAGAAAATGGTTAGAGAATCTTCATATATATCATTTATATGTAAAAAGAAAATTTTCATAAATATACAAGTATCATCCAAAAATGATCTCTTAGATTAGGAAAATCACGATAATCAAAGAGAAAGATATATTAAGTGTCTTTCATCATTTCAAGAAAGGTTGGGAACAGACTGGAAGGATAAGCTGGAGAACAATGTGGCACATGATCTGTTAATAAAGAGAGAGCTTGCCCTTGGTTGTTAATAATCTCACACCCTTGACAAGCACTCAGATTTATTTAAGCAGTTCTTATTTCTGGAGTATGGAAAATCTGTGAATGCGATGGACTGAGACTCCTTTATATACTGCATTGTCAGCAGTAAGGGGACAGCCTGTGAAATCCTAAGGATTATTTTTTATTTCTAAGTAGATAACAGATAGCCCTGGAATAAAGCTACCTAAATTCTAAACAGACTCCTCTTTCAAAAGGAAAGGCACTTATGAAAACTCTCCTTGTAATCCATCATTCCCTCGGTACTAAATAAGCCACAGGTACAGGACAGGCTGCCTTGGAGAGAGTTGCTCTCCTGTAGCCAATTTTGAGGTGGGATATTCAGAAAGAGATGGGAATAGGGATGCAAAATACAAAGAGGAACTTTACTACAAAAACAACCCTGGAACCTCAATGATCCCCGGAAGTGCTTTATTAAACATTTACAGAAAGTATTTTTGATAGAAAATGGTATAAAATTCAAAAGGTAAAAAAGATGCATTTTTTGAGAAATTAGGGCTCTTTCTCCTGCCAACCAGTCACCCAGTTTCCTTTATAAAATCAACAACCATTAACATTTTTATGTTTATTCTCCTGGAGAGATCTATATACATGTTGTTTTTCATTCAAATGATAGTATGCTATACACACTGCTTTGCAACTTGCTTTTTTCCTTTGAAAATAAATCCTACCTTTGTTCTATATTAGTGCATTTAGACATGCCTATTCTTTTTAATGGTGCATAATATTTCACTTTCTAGATTATACCATGTTTTATTTAGTTAGTACCCTACTAGATACTGAAGTTATAACCAACCTTTTGCATTAAAACAATAATGCAGTAAATTAGTTCCCTTGTACACTTATCTCCTCATCCATATGTACACATTTTTTCTAGGATAAAAAGTTTGAAGTGGAATGCACCAAAGGATTCATTAGAATAGGCTAAGAAAATGAATAATAAAATTCTTTCTCTCTTTCCTATAGTCCTCACTTTTCTACTCTGAGACAAGAAGATAAATTAACTTCTAGGTGCTCAAAGAAATATGAACTAACTTATATGTCCCTTAGGAATAAGTCTGGTTGTTTTTTTTTTTGGGGCAAGTTAGCTAGCCAAAACTCAGCATGGGGTTGTACTGTGTCTGAAAAGACTTACCTCACAGTGCTCTCGATAAAGACTCTGCAGTGACTTGATATCCTCAAAGGTAGTACCATCTGGCAGAGAAGAGATTTCAACTTCTCCAAACTCTGGGAGTGCTCGAGATGCATCTGTTGCCAGGACAACAAAACAGAATAAAGCTTTGTGGATGTCAGAGACCCAAAGAGCATGGATTTTTTATATTAGTACTTGCAAGCAAAACTTGGCAACATCATTAGCTCAAAAGAATAGATGGAACCAAAATTTTGGAAAAACTAAATTTTCACTAATACTATAATATATCATAGTGTTTTTAAATATAAAGCATATATATATACATATATGTACATACACACTATATATATATGTATATATGTATATAGTGTGTATATGTATATATAGATAGATATTTGAGTTAGCCAGAAAATTTTTTGGTTATTTTTACTATTATGTTACTTAAGTATGTAAAAAAATCTAGCTTTAAACTCATCATGCTCAAACCTCTTATATAATTATAAACAACAAACCTACAAAATAAAGACAAAGAAAACTACAAGAATAACATTAAACTCAACAACATTAACTTGATATGATGGATGATGCTGTTGTCCTGTATGGAACATGCTTGAGGTACTGACTGCTGTGGTACAGGATCTTTTGAGTTTGATGTGCTTATATACTAACAGGTACTTCCCGGGGGCTGGACCTCCCATTACTTTTCTATATTAAAATGGCTGTGAAATGTTCTTCCACACTGAGCACTGGGGCAGCATTTAACCTTCCCTTGGGATGAAGGAGTAATTTATATAGTAAGTCTCTCTCTGTTCTTTGCTCGTTGCTCAGGGCAATTAATGCAAGACACTTTGGAGTCTGCCTTATCATAAATTCAAATACAAATTGGAAACTAAAACTGCAGAACAGTATTCCTTCTTGTCTTCTAGGTTATCTAGAATATGCTTTTATATTTTTAAAAAGATAACAGTTAAAATAAAAACATGAAATAAAAAAATATTCTTCTTGAGAGCTCAAAGGCCCACAAGAATATACCTAAGAGTTTTAGTTTGGGAAATGATGCCATAACATGTTCAACTTCTCTAACTTGTCTTTCTCAGAAAGTGAACACAGACACATAAACACATATAGATACCTACACACACGCTCTCTTGACAGCTTCTACCCATCTTGTTTGATCTGCTGTACAGAAATTATGCATGCTCAGCACTAGAAGAGTTGTCAATTAAATTAAAGTGACATTTTGCACCTTTGGCTATGACAAGAATATGCAAAATATTCAAGTTCACTTCCTAACTCTTTAAATAAAGAGAAACATGTATATCATCTAAGATTTAAAAAAAAAAATAGGAAGTGTTGTGATCTATTAATAGTTAAAAGAATAAATTATTTTTTAAAAAGCTTATAACTTTTATTCTAATCTGAGGCTGTACAGGTAACTTTATACATAGAAAATAATTCTTTTTGGAATTTAAGTGCTACTGAAATATAAAAAAACACAAGACAATTGTGATTTAAAAAAAGCCCAATTAATACAAATTGTGAAAAAAAATTTCACAGCAAATAGTCTTCAATTTATATACATTTAAATGTCCTACATCACTCAAGAGTTTTAAAAATAAGCTTTAGTGAACATGAGAAAATATAAATGAACTGGAAATGTCATACAATGTGCATAGTTGCAGCACACAAAAAAGTCTTTCTATTTGGTTAACATCTATAATAGAAATCTCACTTGGAGAAAACACTATTATTGTTCTATTGTCTTAAAAATCAACTAATATACATTATACCTGAACATACCTAAAAACTGTTGATGATGTTGACTTTGGGCAATTACAGTTTGTTCAACAGATGTGCCTGTCTGTTGACCACTTCCTGTGAAACCATCTGTAACCCCATCCACTTTCTGCATAGGCTTGTACCTAAAAATATTAGATGGGAAAAAACAAATAAACCAAATTATTCCTTGCTTTTTTGTACTGCACAAAACTCCCAAGGCATTCAATTTTATCCTGTCTTCTTTAATGTTTTATGATAGTTGGATAGGATTCTTTTCCCTTGACAGTCTCAGAAAGCTAAAATAAAGTTTCAATTGTGAAAAGAAAAAAGGGTGAGGGGCTAGGAAGAAGACTCATTTTTGAAAATTCAGAAATCTACCTAAGAAAGAGTTATGAGGCATTTGTTTGGACACCAACAGCAAAGATGTTCATGCTCATAGTTTTAATGATTTGAATATAACTTTTAATGGCCAATGGGTCAAGGTAGAAACACTTTAAATATGTTGAGATTGTAATCTAAACAAAGATCTAGGAGGTAGGGCCTAGAAATGTTGATGAATGGCTTTCAATTTATTAATATCTCTAAATCGGCCTATCAAATCTACCATATCTTTTATAACTTCCCAAGCATCTCAACACATTCATCTTCCTTAACTCTTCTCCATATCTGCAAATAGAAAAACCCTAAGTACCAGCTTGAAGCAAAACACATGCAAGAATCCATCTATAAGCCTGGTTTACCAAATTAAGAAAAAGGAAGTAAAAAAAGTCACCTACAGTTATGTATTTATCTTTAGGTCCTAGTCACATAAACTCATGAACTTTGCATACTGCTAAAGAAGAAAAAAATATATTTCACTGCATTTGGAATGTAAGTAAATATATCTGAATGTATGGTGAATGCATGAATGAATGCTTAGAGTAACATATTTCATTTTACATACTATTAATTGATCTTAACATATATCAAATCAATGTAACAAACATTCATTGAACATATATATAGGAATAATGTTTAGGGGCATGGATTTAAGAAGGCTGCATATAAATAGAACTTTTCCAGAACAATTTTTTATAATTATAAATTATAAAATACATATTAAAATGTATATTATAAAATATATTAAAAACTAGGCAATATTACTAGGATAAACAGATACAAAATAAGAAATAAGCATCAGCCCTAGCTGCTTTGGCTCAGTGGATAGAGCGTTGGCCTGCTGACTGAAGGGTCCCGGTTCAATTCTGGTCAAAGGCCCATGTTGCAGGCTCGATCCCTAGTAGGGGCTGTACAGGAGGCAGCCGATCAATGATCCTCTCTCATCATTTGTTTCTATCTTTCTCTCCCTCTACCTTCCTCTGAAACCTAGAAATATATTTTAAAAAAGAAAGCATCAACTGTAATTTTTCTTTTCCAATATTTTTAAAGATTCAACTTATTTAATTTCATTAATTTAGAAAAATTGAGAGTTATGTTCTAGAGATACCATCATTCACTTTAGGATGTCTGTCCCTCCATTCTTTTTTCCCCTCGTTTCTAAGTATACTTATAGACAAAACCACCTCCAGACACTCGACTCTTACATTAATACCATAAGGCAAGTGGATCATTAATATGAATTATTGTGACTGACAATATCCATAATACATGAACAGGATAAACTCAAAGATGGTAGGACTCAGAGCAGATACAGAATGAATAGTCCTGGTGAAACATCATACAAACTAACGCTTTAGTTGCCTTAAAGAATGATTCAATCTTGAATACTATTAATTATAAATTAGATAAATAAAACTTCAAAGAAAAATTGCAGTCACTCATAATAATATTTATTTTTATATCTAAAATGACAAAAATAAAGCCAGAAGATGAACAGTGAAAAAAGGGTACAGCACTTCACCACTGTTATCACTTGAGTGATGACTCCACATCACCAAAATGTTGGTTGCTATTTTCTAACGACTAAAAGAACTCAAACATAATATTTTATTTAATGGAAAAACCATCAGAAAGTACTTTTCAATTGGTTCACACCAAGAAATGGCAGAAGGGATAGTACTGCGATGTTTTAGAAATGTTGTTTATGAAAAATAATTTTTTTTTTCATTTTCCTCTTTAAAAATTGTCTTAACAAGGCAAAAAATTTTTTTGAGGCAAATACTTTGAGTACCATATTTTCCTGTGTATAAGACGACCCCCTAATTTTACAGTTAAAACATAGGTTTAGGCCTATATTCGCTGTATAAGACTACCCCCACTTCCAAGGCAACACCAGTTCTTTTTTTAATAGATCGCCTCTCTAACTCAGCCAATCCAAGCAGGCTTTTTATACATGCAAATTATACATGTTCTATACCCGAAGCTACACTGTGTTTTAGTAAAAAGCCTGCTCAGATTGGCCAGAGTCAGAGAGGCAGTCTATTAAAAAAAGAACTGGTGTTGCCTCGGAAGTGGGGGGTAGTCTTATACAGTGAATATAGGCCTAAACCTATGTTTTAACTGTAAAATTAGGGAGTTGTTTTATACGCTGGAAAATACGGTACTTCTGTGGGGGAGTTGCTAACCATTCATTCTGTCTAGAAAATTTGAATGATTTTATTATTAAATAAATTTAACAAAGTTTCCTGTCCTCATTGATCCATGTCAGGTGTTATTTGATTTTACTCTCCTTTTATCAGCTATGAAATTTTATATTTTATATAAAATAGGCTAAAATTGCTTAATCATGTTTCTTCATTTAAGTTAATTAAGTATGACATTCACAAAGTTAATAAACAAAAATGTTAAAGAAATTTGAATAATTTACACTGAAGAATAGAAAATGGAAATGTTTCCTATAGAAGTCAATATATTAAAATTTGAAATTAGTGAGTAATTATGAGATTTTTCAAAGCGATGCTTCATCAAATTTCCTTTGTCCTTCACAAATGCTTAATGGGCACAAATATCAAGAACAAGTAGAATTTCACCATAAAAGGAAATGACACATTTCTTTCAGTCTGTGAGTTTTCAGAGAATGGATGTTATGCACATAGTACTTAGCAAACCTGCAAGCTTACAAGTAAAATTATTTGCTCCCTTAGCAAAATGTAGACATGAACATTCCTAAGGGAAAGGAAGATTATATTTTTAACAAGTACTCAAAATCATAATTCATTATAATTAATGCATCATTATATTTAATAATAATGATATGAGAGGGAAGCATTGATTATATGTACAGTGTATTACACAGGAGATTAAAAATGCATCAATATTAGCTTATGAAGAAAAAAGAAAATTAGTTGGTAAATTCTGGAGAAATGTTGCAGATCAGTACTTAAATACATAATTTATATAGGAGATGTGAAGAAAAAAAAAAGAAAATAGAACTGAGAAATTAGTGTTTTTACTCTAATCATAAAATTAAGGGTAGCCAGGTAAATAGTGGATTAAATGGATCAGGCAAAGATGCACTATGTGAATCCATTCTTGGTTACTCTGTCGATAGGCTCTATAAGCCAGAACCTTAGGTTGTACTTCCTCAGAGAAAGGTATAAGGGCAAGTTTGGGAGGGGTCTGTGCCATAAAGAGTGACATCAAGAAGCACAGGAATATGGCTCATGTACAAGAGCAGTATTAGTGGGAGCTAATATGAGAGAGCTTCCAGGTAGTGCTAACTTTAGCTTTTCCTGCTTTGTGTTAACTACTAAATCATGTGGTATAATAGTGGATTGTCTGGCATTGCATTGGTACTTAGAAGGAATCCCAGGAAATCACAAATATTGGACGGAGGAAAGCTACATGGTCATATTTCTGATGCTCTAAGAAAAAAAAAAAATCTTATCCCTGCCATCACCTCAGAGGGTTGGGTCTTCCCAGAGAAAGATGGAGTTTAACAGAAAGTAAAAAATAGGAACATTAAAAATAGGCTAACAAAATATTCATGGTAACTGATTTTGATTGGAAGAAACAGTTATAGATATTATTAGAGGCCTGGTGCATGAATTCTTGCACCAGTGGGGACCCTTGGCCTGGCCTGCGGGATTGGGCTGAAATCAGCTCTCTGACATGCCCCAATGGGTCCCAGATTGTAAGAGGGAACCTGCCAGGCCGAGGGACCCTATCAGTGCACAGGGCTGGGGAGGGACACAGGGGGTTAGCAAGTCAGGAAGGGACCGGGGGAGGATTCCAGGACATGTCAGGCCCATCTTGCTCAGTCCCAATCAGCAGGACCCCAGCAGCAAGCTAACCTACTGGTTGGAGCATCTGCCCCCTGGTGCTCAGTGCACATCATAGTGACTGGTCAACCAGTCAACTGTCTGCCCCTGGTGATCCTTGCATGTAATAACAAGCAGTTGAGTGGCCTTAGCATATCATTAGCATCTTACACTTTGATTGGTTGAAAAGATGACCAGATGACCAGACCCTTAGCATATTAGGCTTTTATCATATAGGATAGGATATTAGGTATGTCAGTATCTGTGCTGACATTCAAATGCTAAATTCATCCTAGGTCAACCCAACAAAATCTTGGGAATGGGGTTTAGGATTTGATTATTTTAACAAGTTCTGAGACTTCTCTTAAGGAGCCTGCACAGCACCAGTCCATAGGAGACTCTTGGCCTGATACAAATTCCTTCAGCCGACTTTTGTAGAAGTATGTCGCTAACATTAGAGCTAAGCCATTTTTAAAAAAATAAATGTCATCAGGTTTCAATAAACTTTATTTGGAATGTAAATAAATATATCTGAATGTATGGTGAATGTATAAATGAATGCTCAGAGTAACATATTTCATTTTACATACTATTAATTGATTTTAACATATATCAAACCAATGTAACAAACATTCACTGAGCATTTACTATAGGCATCGCGCTTAGGGGCATAGATTTGAAAAGGCTGCATATAAATAGAACTTTTCCAGCACAATTTTTTATAATCTATTGATTTACATGATAATTCAACATTCTCTTAACTCTGATTGAATTTCAACTGACATCTTAGAATTGAAACAATATTTTTTCAGAATTCCTGCCTCTACCTTCTTCATAAAATTATCACTATTTAAATTCTAAACTGTAAAAACCAGAGATACTTTTTACTGAAAAAAAAAACAAAACAAAACACAAAAACATCCTTTAAAAAAAACACACAAAAC